AACTTAAAGAAGTCCAGACGCTTTTCTTTGCAAGCTCCTTTGATTATATTATATATATTACATTTTAAAAATTCTCATTACTTTATTCTTATAGCATTAGGAATAAATAAAAAAGGGTAGGATTCTGGATCACCACCATGATGCACACTTGTGGCCATAGTATATAAAGTATTCTGGAGAAGGTATGAAATGCCACATTACGTGTGTGTGTGTGTGTGTTTTACATGTATAGGTTTTTAAAACATTTTTACAAATTATTACTCATGATATAACATTGTGCAGAAATGCCACATAAGGAGAGGAGGGAGAAACGGCTACAAAAGGAGGTGTGTGAGGCAGTGGATCCCTCACCAGCTGGATTAAAAAGAGCACAGGTAACAATAACACATGTACCAGTTGTTGCATTGCAGAGGTATTCAAGGATAAAAATAATAATAAACATAATTGCAATGTTTGGGTTCTATATCATTTTTCTATCATTACTTTATTGTGGACTAGTTGTTAGTGTGGATAATTAAATAATAGATTAATGCAATAGCAAATTGTGCCGTGTTCTCAGATAAACAGCAAGGGAAGAGTGATAGCTCAGATGAGGAGATGGAAGGAGGAAGTGACGCAAAGACTGAGTCACAGGCAGAGCCTAGAGAGAATGTAGAGGAAAGGGCAAACCAGGAGAAAGAGACTGGAGTAATCAAATCTTTGGCCACATCAGTAAGACATGTCATCCTAACAGATATGCAAGAGTGTGAAATCTTTTCTATATTGATGGATGAAACCACAGATGTGTCGCACTCCGAGCAGGTTTCCTTTTCTTGTCAGATATGTGCACAACATTGAAATCCAGGAGCGCTTCCTTCAGGTGTGTAATGTGGAGTCAACAACTGGAGATGCTCTTGAAAAGCTAGTAATGGCTCTACTGAAAGAAAATAATATGAAGATTGACAACATCCAGGGTCAAGATTATGATGGTGCTGCAAACATGAGCAGGCGCTTTAAGGGACTTCAGTCAAGAATACAAAAAAAATTCAAAGGCCTTATATGTCCACTGTCAGGCACATTGCCTTAATCTGGTTTTGGTAGAGAGCGCAAAG